CAATTAACTGCATTGGCTAGTGTCTTCTTAATATATTCCAAACGTTCCTTGTGATTTTCCAGCGGCAGCGTAGGATCATGCCTTACAAAGACTTTCACTACCACTAAACCTTCCTCGGATTTCGCTTTAGCCACTTTGAAGAAGCGTGTGCTACCCATGCTGCACAAGGTATTATTTAAATTATTATAAAAGAACGACTTGCAAATGCTGATTTTTCACTCACTTTGATTCGAAAATAATTTCGGAGCCCGAGAAATAGTGATCCATTGGGTAAATTTGCGACGGTGCTATACCCACCAGCTGATTACCCATCTTGCTGGTCGAGGTTGGAAAATCGTTGTCTAAGGGTATATCTTTATTTGATACTCAAAAATATTGTGATAACACTCGTTTTTTATATTAAACGTCGTAATTTTATTTTTACAGCAAAAATGACGCTGGAGTACCAAAAAATGTTTACCTGGAAAACCTGTTATGAATTTGAGTCAGCTGTTTTCTTTCACCTGGGCTTGATGCAGTGTTGGTAAGCGTAGTCAGAGAAGGAAATACGAATTTTGCCGTGGCTGATGCTAAAAGCGCGTTTCCATGTCGTCCAAATTGCGCAATTTCGACACTATTCCCAATTTCAGCAGGAATTGCGATACGATACTCAATTTGAGCCCTTCTTTTTTAAGTCGGACAGATTTCGTAAAAAAAATGAAGCCAATCGAAACTGTGTCACCAAATTTCGTGTCCAATATGAAAAAGAATGTCGTCTCATATATGTAATACTTCTATATTGTCAGTAAGCTAACTTCCCAATGTGTAAGCATTCCGAAATCAAAGCGAGACAGTCTACCCTTTTCCAACAGTATTTCAGAAAAACAAATGTATTTCAGAAAAGGCCAAATGAATTTCAGAAAAGAAAAATATTTTTAGAATACAGTTGTGCTTTTCTGAAATACATTTGTGCTTTTCTGAAATTCATTTGCGTTTTTCTGAAATTCATTTGCGTTTTTCTGAAAATAATTTGTACTTTTCTGAAATACAACTGTGTTTTTCTGAATTTCATTTGGCCTTTTCTGAAATACATTTGAGCATTTCTGAAATACATTTGTCCTTTTATGAAATATATTTGAGGTTTTCTGAAATACATTTGAGTTTTTCTGAAATTCATTTGGCCTTTTCTGAAATTCATTTGGTCTTTTCTGAAATACATTTGTGTTTTTCTGAAATACTGTTGGAAAAGGTGTAGTACGAGGTTCGTATAGTAACTTCTCCAGTTAAACATTGCACCGAAAGCTTAAAAGCAAAATAGAGCGTAAAATTGAGAAGAAAACTAGCAGAAAAAGTTATTGGACACAAAACTAGTAAAAACTTGCAAGTGAATAGTTGTTGCACCGTTTTGATATTCTGCTGTAAACATTTTACTATTTATAAATCAGTTTTAAACCCTTTGCTTAAAACGCAAGCACTTCCACAGTCCAGTACATCATTAATATTTTATTGAGATGAGTTTGCCTTAACTTCGCGAATACAACTCTGAAAATTGCTTATTGTGAGTTATTAATGAGCTAAAAGAAGAAACAAAACGTCAATGACAAGTGAATGAAAAAAAACCAACAAACCGAGCAAAACAAAACTCACAAAACAACACAAACAAATAAAAAAAACTGTCATCGAAATTTAAGTTGAAATCAGTCAAGAACGCAGAACGTATACGTCTATATACGAGGAATTTTGTCGATTACTGGAGCCCTCAGTGTTGCTTACTACAGTGTAGCCACTCATCAATGCCTTTTCATTAACTTACCTTTTCAACTAAAATTTTTCGTGTTATAATAGAACGTAGCTAAATATAAACTACTTAGTTTTCAACAAGAAACGTTATTCAATAGAAAATTTCAAATATTTTAAATGTATTTTGAATAGGAACTTATAACTTTTGTGCCATCTGCAAAACTGACGATGTGGCAACTATCTATATAAGGAATAAATCAGCGGACACGGAAAAATCTAAATTCCGCAGATTTCAGCACTTTCTGACTACAGAAAAAATCTGCGTCGTAGGTTCAATTTTCGTGAAATCTACGAAAGTGCTATCACAGAATCCGAATGGCTACGAACGTAAATTCGAAATTCGTAGAGAGCCTTCATTCAATCCGTTCGTAATGAAGATTCGTACAGATACTCTACGACGAGATTATGCTGTCTTTTAAGTAAAATTTTTTGTGTTATCTTTGTATAAAAATATCGTCTAACCAAAACCGTGTAAATCACAGTTTCACACTTTATACAAAACTTCGACGAATCAAAGTTTCAACTTTTTATTCTGAATTTTTAGAAAATTTTTGGCTATGCAGTTTTATAGCCTATACAATTTTAGTTCAATGAAGTACAAGTTTCAAACGGCTAAAAAATGGCGCTGATTGTTAAGATTTTTTTTTTTTGGTGACGGATTTTTGCACTTTTTTCATATAAAAATGAATTTCTTATGAAATATAATGCAAGAGACCGTCAGCAACAAAATTTCAAAATACCAACGCAAGTTTTTGTAAATTGCGCTTTTTATATTAAAAAACCCGAAAAAGTAGCCAAAACAAAAACTCTCAAAAATCAACGCAATTTTTTAGCTGGTTGAAACTTGCACCCAATTAGAGTAAAATTATATGGGCTATAAAACTGCATCTAAAAATTCAGAATAAAAAGTTGAAATTTTGATGAAAACTTGTTAAATTTTGTATAAAGTTTGAAACTGTGATTTACACGATTTTAGTTAAAACTGCTTACCCAAAAATTTTATAAAAATTCAGAATAAAAAGTTGAAATTTTGATGAAAATTTGGTGAATTTTCCTAAATTTTGTATAAAGTTTGAAACTGTGATTTACACGGGTTTGGTTAAAACTTAGACGATATTTTTATAAAAAAAATAACAAAAAATTTCGCTGGAAAAATATTACGAATATTAAAAAAAAAACGTGTGGTCATTTGTTTGAGTCACTGTATATGTTACCGGCCAAACAAGTTGGACGCAATAATATTGTGGACTGCGTAGCTTGAGTTGGACTGATGAGGGTCACTTTTATGAAATTTTTACATTTAAAAACGTTGAAATTTAACCTAAAATATCTCAACTATTATTACAAAAAATTTTATACAAATTGTCTTGCCCGATTGGCTGTTTAGCAATTTTGTAGCTCAAGTCAAAGGGTTCTTGGTAACATGACGCCATGTTTGCGTATATGTTTTCTATTGTTGTAATTTCTTACTGAATAAAGGGCTACTTATGTAATTATTTACAACGCAGTTGAGCTGTGCGATTATTCGATTACTCGAGCAAGTTGGTTAACCCTGTTATTCGGTTAATCAAATACTCGAGTAATCAAGATTTTGATTACTCAAAGCGATGATTAATCAAGTTACTTAAAATATGATTACTTAAAAAAATGATTTTTGCTCGTTAAAATAGTTTGCTTTGGAAAATGCTTATTTTCTTTTTAACAATCTGTATATGAAAAAATAATTTAATCTTAATTCCTGAAAACAGAAACGTTGTTTTCAAAGTATGAAGGAACTTCAATTTTTTTAAATGTAAAGAGTACTTTGAAATGTTGATTATATGTTGATTTTACGCATAATGTTGATTAATCATTAAGTGAATTACTGAAATATTTTTGTTTTTGGTTAAATCTCTATTACTCGAGTAACTTAACTTTTGAGCAATTATAATTTCCAATTAATCGATTGAGTTATTTACTTTATGATTAATTAAAATTTTGAATAATCAATTAAGCGCACAGCTCTGCAACCTTTTTAATTTAATTTTAAAAAATTTTGCCATACAAATGTTGCGCCTCGCCAAATTAAAAATGCCCATCTTCATTAAGGAAACAAAATTTTAATATGTATTTGGATTATTTGCATTTATTTTGAGATTAATAATAAATTTATTTATGGTTTTTGAGTCATGATATTTTATACATTATTTTTTATAATTTTTTGATTCTTGTCATAGGCGTTTGGCATACGCACTAACACAAGTTCAATACATTATTTTGTTTTAATTCCTTTAGATATTGTATGCATCTATTTTGTTTTTTGTTGTATTGGCTTTTTATGTAACGACATACATATTAAATGCAATCAACATACATTTATGGTGTGCTGTAACCATTTTATAAATATAATTTTTTAAATTTGTTTAAGCGCTGAATACAATGTGTAAATCTAGAAACTAAACTAGAAAATTAGCAACAGATTTTATTAAACTTTAAAAATATAAAGACTATTAAGTATATTTAGATAAAGAATAAAAATAAAACAAATTTAGCGGGAAATAGAAGGAATTAATTTAATTAGAACATTTGAAGAGATTAGGATTGTGTAAGTATAAAATAAACTAAAAAGAGAAACAATAAAAAATAAGATATTTAATTAGAAATAACTAAAAGTAAACGAATAGAATAAAACTTGATTGAATAAAGACCTAATGCCAGATTTCCACTAGGTATTAAATTTCCACATTCGGCTTTAGAAAAAAAAAAAAAAAATATTTAAGATAGGGAATAAAATTGGCCAGGCATGAATTTAAAAATTCAGAAATGCAATTCTGCACAAGGATTAAAACTACATCTGGCTTACAAATGCTGAGTAATTACAGATATAAACAGGGAAAATCAAAAAACGCTTTTAGTTTTAACTTTATATATTTTTAAATGTGTTGTTATCCAGCTAAATATATTTTTTTCAACTGCACTATCTTTATGCTAAAAGTCATGTTTGCGTGTACGCATGTATGCTATGAGTTGCCATGTGTATATATGTAATTATTATTTTTTTTTGTCCGTAGGTGATTGTGTACTATTGCATTTGATTAACCATTGGTTTTTGATTATTGGCGCCTTACGTACGTACATACATACATACATATGTATGCATGTATGTATATCTTATATCTCATTTAATATTTTTCTTTTTTTCTTAGCTCTGCAAACATTTCTTTGCTTCTTTTATTTATGTATTTTTTTTTTTGCAAATATGTCCTTTTTATCTGTTACAATTACTAACTTACAATTCTAAGCGTCTTCCATGGCTAATCGCTAAAAATCTGTTTTGTTTTTTTTTGTAAAACTAAATAATAAAATGCAACAAAAACAATTTATAATTATGTATAAACAAACAGTAATTGTGAAAACTAAAATATGCATGCACATACATATCGTCGATATTTTTGCGAAACCGCCCATCGGCCAGTCGCAAAACCGCCTAAATCGCCGTTGTGGCAAAAATGAGGTATGATAACCCTGAACTCTGGGCATCGAGATTTATGCATAAAAAGCGCCAAATCGTTATTAAAAAAACAGATTTTTCAAAGAATAGCCAGAGAAAATACCGCCTATCAAGGCAATGTCTTCAAAGAAAACCCGCTTTTTCGCTCTGCTGTAAAATTTGAGTGCCTTTAGATAGGCGGTTTTGCAATTGGTCGATGGGCGGTTTTGCAAAAACATCGACGATTGATTGTAAAGCATTTTTAGCTTACGAATTAAAGTAAATATGCGTTACTTACGTATTTATGTGTCTGTTTAGTGTTTAAAAATATACGCTGTGCCAAAGCGTAGTTTACATATAATTACACACTAAACTTTTTTCTTTAAGTTGTATTTATTTTTATTGTCTATTAGCGTTAAATAAAATTCTATTGCAGGTGAAAATAAAGAATATACATATTTGTATTTGATTTTTGTCATAAGCAATATCGAAAAAATGTATCTAGCGCTGAATACATTTGTTGAAAGCAAATTTTTTTATATCTTTTTATGCATGTATTTTTGTAGCCTAAACAAAAGTTTTTCTTTTTATACCATTTGGTATTATGTGTGTTTACATAATAATTTCAAACGGCTTTCACTTGTCAGTACTATGTTGCTTGTTTTATATGTATCTTAAAAGCTTAAATCAATTACCAACAAAGTTAATCATATTTTATTTTTATTAATTCTTGTACAATTACCACGTATAAAATATTTGAAAGACTTTCATGATAATTACATAATTTTGCATTATTATTATTATTATTTATTTTTTTATGTTCTTAAAGAAACACACATTTTGAGTTTTCTTACCCTATATACATACAACTATAAGAAATTTTAACGAAATTTGTTGCAACAACTAAATTTTACAAATACATAAAGCGTATTTTCATAATGTTTATATATTTTTTGAATAAAGTATAGTTTTAAGTTTATAAATTGTCTCCAAGCTAATGCTGTCTGTTAAAAAATAGAGTAAAAAATAAATAAAAACAAAATTAACTCGAGTTTTTTTGAAAATAAATATTTTCATTTCAACTGTAGGTACGCTTATTTTCATACTAGCAGCTTGTGTTATAACTAGATTATATATGTATATATAGGACTGCATAGATACAAGCATATTTACTGGTACTTTTGGAAATATATTTGCATAAATATTTTTTTTTTATATGTATTACTACATATATGTACATATGTACATGTACAATGTTCAAATGCATTTTTGTTGAAATATATTTATTAGTGTTGATGTATTTCTCGATCTATTCTATATACATATATATGTATATGTACATACATATGTTTGTATTACCAAACATCAACCACAATGCTTTTTTCAATTCCTTTAACAACGTAAAAATTCACAACAGCTATAGATTACCACATCACCTTCTCCCATACTCATGAACGCTCGCACGCAACTTCTAGCTCTCCCACGCCGTATGCAAGGATCCTTGGCATTGCGTTGCTTTCACTTTCATCCTTTAGATAGTCTCTTCCATATCACTTTTCCAGCAATCTTCACATACGCATGTACATACATACATACATATTTTCCGACTCATAGCGTCGCTTCTTTAGTCACACCTACACGAGTCGTCTTCGCTTCAGACTACTTATTGTGTATGACTAGCGTGTAGGTTTGCATGGACCATGAGACCTGCGCGCAGGACTCCCCGTGTCATTTACCCAGCGCCGTGAGTTGTTGCGTAGTGGCCTGCTGTGCCTGTGCTTGGCTTAGCGCTACAGTTGCTGTGGCTGTTGTTGTTGTTGTTGTTGCAGCAGTTGTATTTTTGTTGGACGAGCCGCTTGTTGGTGCCGGCGCTGGTGCTATACGTATTGGCTTGCTGCGTGGTGCTGTAGCTGTGGTTGGCGGTGTGCTGAAGCTATTATGCGCACTGGTTGTAGATATGGCATGTGTGGGTCCACCAGATGTTGGTACGATTGCATAACCGCCGGTAGTTGTAGCGGCGCCAATATTGCTGGTGGTGGTGTTGTTGCTGTTGCGCTGTGTGATGTTGCTGAGCCGCTTATTGCGATTTGGACTAGTCGAATTGTTGTTGTTGTTGTTGTTGTTGTTGAGTGTGGTTGTTGCTGTGGCTTGCTGCAGCTGTTGTTGTTTGGCTGCAGTTGCACCGACAATTGTTGTTGTTGAAGTAGCTGAAATACGATCCAATTCGGTCATTGCTTCTTGAATGGCGCGTTCGAGTTGTGAATTCAATTTTCGGCTCCTTTTATGGTAGTGTTTTTAGGTATTTGATGATACGTTTATGGTTTTGATTTTAACGTATGTCATACCAATTTGGGAAATGCGGTGTGTTGTTTTTAATTGTATTTGGGAAAATGTGTGGAGGTATTGATTGTTTGATTTTTGTGTTGTTGGTTGATTGATTTTGTTGTTGGTTGGATTTGTTGGTGGTGGTGGTGGTGGATGCATTCAAATGTACAAGACATAGACAATTATTCACATGACACGGATATAGTGGGTTGGTAGGAGTAGAAAAAGCAATAAAAAATAAACAAATTAATTAATAACATATAAACAACACATAGTTTTTTTTTAAATATTTTTTCTTAAAAAAATAAAACATGTCTAATTAGCTAAAAAATTTCGAACCATCAAAAATATACCTTTTTGCATTCTAATTAGATACATATATGATACCTATCTAAGATACATAAATATATATGTATATATTAATAAAGTTATCAGGCATTCAAAAAACTACATACATAAATTCTAAAAAAATATACGTATCTAAACTTTTAATGTTCAAAAATATTTAAATAGCAAAAAAAAAAATATGCACATACATACAAATACATACATATCTATATTACCAAACTAAAATTTTGTTTAAAAACTAAAGTACTCTATTCATTAAATAAAATACAGCACAAATATCATTTTATATATGTTCTTGTGTATGCATAAATATGTATGCAGCATTCCGGAGAAAATTTTTTTTAGATATTTTTTAACCTACGAAAAAGTGCAAGGAAAATTACATTCTAATAATATAAAAATATAAAGTATTTAAATCGTGCATTCGCTCTGCCGTCTAGCCATTTCTGCGTGAAGAAGTAACAAACATTCTTTTCCCAAAAAAATGAAATTGCGATTTTTCTATAGGTTTCTTCCATTTTATGAACATTTGGCCTGAAACTGCAAAAAGTTTCATTACGTTAACTCCTTTCAAACCATATACGATTTGGAAAAAAATACATGATTTTTGCCCACAGTGCGGCGGTGCCTATTTGCCTATTAGGGCGGAGCGAAAAAAAAATTAATTTTTCGACTTCGAAATTCTAAGAGCGTGGAAAAGTTGCGTAACATGTGCATATTGAATCATCTTAAACCCCTTTCCGACAGGATAATACTTACGTTCAAAAAACTATGGGCGAAATATAGAAAAACTGCGTTTTTAGTTTGTCTATTCGACGTCAGCATTTTTTAAAGGACTTTGGAGTTCTAAACATATTACTAATCAAAAAAATTATTGAAAATTATTGAAAAAAAATTATTCAATGCAATGGAGAACCAAATAAAAGAGAAAACTAGAATTGAACAAAAATAAATTTTTTTGGTTCACAAGGACGAATGGGTGTTGAAAATGCCCTTTCGTGTTTAATATGACGTTGTTGAAGATAATGAGAGTCGCAAACTGAACCGCTCAGGAACAATTTTTTATAAGAGCGTGCAATTGCTGGCGTATTCCGATGACATCGACATCATCGGTAATAAGAACCGCGAAGCCTGTTCTGCGCCTTTTCCAAGTTGGATAAGGAAGCAAAGCGATTAGATCTGGTGGTTAACGAGGACAAGACGAAGTATTCCCAGTGAGTGAGTATAGTGCAGCGAATTAAAATCTTTCGGCTCCGCTGGCTTGTCTATGTCATTCGAATGGACACCGAGCTCTGGAAGTATTCGGAACCCGCAGCAGAGGAAGAGTGAGACCCCACTGCGATGGAAAGACCAAGTGGAGAAGGACTTGGCTTCGCTTGGAATTTTCAATTGGCGTCAGTTGCCAAGGAAGAGAAACGACTGGCGTGCTTTGTGGAACTCGGCCAAAATCGCTTAGGCAGTTACAGTGCCAAATAAGAAGAAGAATAAGTATGACACTTAAACAATTGCTATAAGTGCTAATATTAGTTTTCTCATAAATGTAGAAACGGGATGAAATGTATGTTGCGGATGCACTCTTCGAGTGGGAAAACGTATCCGAAAAACGACCGAAAATGGAATCGGATATTATGCCCATTTTCGAATACGTTTTCGGAAAATGTGAATACGTATGTATGGTGCATTAAAACCAAAAAAAAAAACATGATGGCGGACCGATATGGTGACAACTCGTGAAAGACTTACTACTTCTACTTGTGAAAATCTTAGGATAGTCTGGAATGTTGTTTAAACCTTATTTTTCGTTTTGATTTACTGTACGAAAAAAAAAAAATCAAGAGCGAATGCACCTACACAAGTACTAAAAAGCGTAGCAAAGTATTGTTGTGGTTTTGTATTTAGTCTCAGATCCATTGTTCTATCAGAACGTATACATATGAATGTAAACATATATCCGGTAAACTCGCCTATGAACTGATTAGACTGGATCACAAACTTTATTTTTGTTTTTGTTCTCCAGACGCCACCATTCAATCAGCACGTAAAATCGCTCGCTGAGTCCGAAAGTCGAGTTAATTTTTTCTTTATGAATACGTTTTTTAGATATTTGCAATTTACCGTTATTCAGCTTTAAAAAAGAGTGGTTCCACTTAATCACCCAACTTACTCGCCAAATATTTATTAACAGGTTAAATTTCATACGAAACAGATTGCATCCATTAAACAGATGACCCCTTTCTCTTTTCGTGTTCGATTCTAAATTAAGGGCAAAGGGTGAAACATTTTTTGTTCGTTTCTTAAAATGGCACACCTTTTCTCCCCTTGAAGCTTTGTCAGGGCAGATGGTTGCCCTGAAATTTAGATGGTTGCTTAAAACGATAATAGAGCCGTCACTCATACGCCACATACACCTGAGTATGTAGAGTATTTGCATCGAAAAGAAGAGACGTCAGAAATGATTAATTAATTTCTCAGAACCCATGAGGGCTATCGAAAAGTGATGTATATGCGATTTATGTAGAATTTGATTAGCTCTCATTTGCCGTATTGGATTTGCCAATATTGGATTATTCAATTGGTTCGTAAGATATTTGTGATTAAGTGAAGCTACTAAGTTTTTAAGCTGAATAACGGTAAATTGCAAATATCTCGAAAAGTGATCCATAGGAAAAAAAAATTATCTCGATTTTCGGTATTCACCGAGCAATTCTACATAAGAATTGGATAGTGGCATCTATAGAACATTTTTGCTGTAAACCAGTGTTATTCCTCATCATATAATATGTAGGTATGTATGTATACTATATTAGTGCTCACTTTCTAGTATCCTTTTGCGCCTTATGATGCGCCTCCAAGCCATCAGAAAGACTATGCAGCGAAGTGATCGCTATAAGTTCGGTTATGATACGTCCACCACCACTAAACCATTGCACCCAAACTGCAGGTTCACCATTTGTGGTTTGCGGTTGCTCATCAATTTCCACCTGCACAACTTTACCCGGCCAGGCGGGATAACCGCGCGATGGGCCCCAAATCAATTCACCAATCGAGAAAGCATGTGCGACCGTTGATGCAGACGAAGGAGTTGTTGTGAGTGTTGACGCAACCACCACTGCGGTGCTATCGGCCAATTCTGCACCCCCATTGGGAATCGTACGGGCAGCACGTGTGGTACGAGCGCGTAGCAATTTGTTTGGCGATTTTTGTGTGGACTTATGGCATGTCTGGTGGTTAGCTGATGCTTGTGCAATAGTTGGTGTTGTTGCTGGTGTTGGCGTCAACAATTGTGTCGGCGGCGGTGGTGGTGGTGGTGGTGGTGGTGGCGTTGTTGCTATAGTAGTTGTTGTTGGCGAATTTCTTGGTGACTCTATGAATTAATTAGGTCATTAAATACAATTTTATTTTCAGCAAAAATTTGCCGACCGATGCTGGTTAATTTGCGTGACACACTGACGGGTTAATTTAATTTGCGCATGTTTTTTTAGTTTTCTTAGGCCATGGAAGCACATGAAGTACCGAATTATTTTGTAGTTAATTCATTGACAAGTGAAGTATGAAAGTAAATTAGACGAAAACAAACATATATGTATTTGCACATAAAGCTATCACCATGATGTATGTAGTATGTACGAATGTCAATGCGTGTATACTGCTGAGAAAAAACTTCAGTCGCGTTTGGTTTTAGTTACCAAATATTGTGTGTGTGGAGTGGGGATGTGCGATTGATCGGTTAATCAAGTTTTAAGATAATCATAATCCTGATTAATTAAATAATTTGATTAATCAGATTCTGATTAATCAGATCCTGAGTAATTACTGTTTACTCAAACTATAAAAAATAAAAAATAATTGAAATCTGAATAACTTTGTTCAATTCTTTTGAGTTTTCTTTCAAACCAAATGAAATTTTTTTAATAGGTATGTTTGTATGTGCAAATATGTATGTTCGTATGCACATTAAATATTTTTCTTATTAACAAATATAAAATGCCAAACAAGTACGTACTATGTAGTAAATACAGCGTAAATATGTTCATATGTATGTAGCTTCTTAAAATGAAATTTTTTGCTATTTTTGTATGTATATATGTTCTTGTTAATGTGACTAATCAGTTTTTTGATTAATCAAATTAATTAGATTATGATTAATCAATATCTAATTAATAGGAAAACTAATCATTTTGATTAATCAAAAATAATTATTCTTTGATTAAGTAATTAATAGGCTTCCGATTAATCAGCTTGATTAGCTGATTAATCGCACATCCCTAGTGTGGAAAAATATATGTACGTGTGTATTTAGTTGACGTAACTAAAGTATTTTCTCAGTGTATGTGGTGAAATCATCAAAGTGTTTTAGAACAATAAAATGTGTAAAAGTACCTTATTTAAAGCTGCAAAAAATATATACATACATATGTATGTACATATCATCGTCAAAAAAAAAAAAAACCCTATATGGCTAATATGAATTTTTAAAAGCGAATCAAAAACTTTGGGCAAATTTAAATTAAAGCATTTTGCATTACGTAGTTGTTTTCAACAAAAAGTACAAATGGAACAACCACGTTACACCACTGAAAAAATCGTTAACGTCTAGAATCAACCTAATGCGGCACTAAGCCAAAAGGAGCCACACACATATCAACACACTCGCATATCTGGTAAAGCCTCTGATGCAGAGCAAAATCGACGGCGGGCTGTTTCTATACGGAAGTACTCCAAAGACAATACTAAACCTCATCAAGCCCTCATACCACCAAACCAACCGTAACAGTATTTACGTGTACGTCAACACCCCGATAAACAGCACGTTCACCGAATCAGGCCTTCCAGCACTGAAATACAGAATTTCCGAAAGCAGACTTAAAGCATAACTAGACGGCAGCGTTGATCCGGATCAACTCTGGAATTAACTGCAGTTGATTCGGATTAAGTCCGAGTTGATCAATGCTGCCGTCTGTTTAAGCTTTTAGACAGCTACCTAAAATCCTGTTCCAAAATCACTCAAAGCCATAATAATAATAGATTGGCGCTTACACATGTGTTAGTGTTTGGCCGAGCTTCTCCTCGGATTTGTGGCAGAAAGACCTTCGGTTTTACACCGACTCCGAACAGCGATTGTATTTTTATGAGGAGCAGAAATATGCTCGGAGGCTAGGCGTTGCCTGCCGAGAAAGAAAAAGGTTGTAATCTTCAGAGACAGCCTCTCATTTTTTAGATTGAAACATGTTGGAAACGACGGGGCACGGGCCACAGCTACCAATTTATTATCTTTATTATCTAAACGCTTTGTCCACAGCGACGAGAACGAGAAACAGTCAGAGCATACGCGTCTTGGCACATACATACGTCACTGTTGACAGTTACAAGCAGGGACGTGAACCGGATGAAAAATTTTGTCGGTTCGGTTCAGCGGTTCGAACTGTTTTTCCTCCTTTGGATTGGTTCGCCAAAGCGGTTTTTTTGGTCTTTGAACCGGGGTTTCGGTTCGGTTCAACGGTTCGAAAAACAAACAAGTAATAAAGTCTAAGTTCGGGCCGAACATTCAATATCCGGCGCAAGTATTAAATATATGATTTTCACCTTTCCGAAAGCCACCGCAACATGGTATACCGGGGTGTATCAATTTTGAGTAATTTAGCGTCCTTAAATTTCAAAATATTGAAGTTTCAAGCTTTTCTGAAATTTACCGTTATATGAAAAGCGGCCTCAATTTTAGTCTGATTTCAATGATTTTCAACGTTTTGCTTTTATTTGGCAAGCACAATAGCCATACCGAGTTTGGTATAAATTGGTAGACAGGTTACCGAGATACATACATATATGTGATCATAAGTGGGCGGTGCCACGCCCGTTTTCCAAAATTTTATCATGAACGTATTTCTTGGTAAAGGATTGTCGCAGGCATCAATTTTGAATAAATTAGCTTTAATATTTACTACTTTATCGAAGATTTCGTATTTCTCCAAATTACCGTTATATGGAAGATGGCGTGGTTATTGTCCGATTTTGCCCATTTTCAATACCATCCGTTCTACGCCCGAAAGAAGTGCGCATACAAAGTTTCGTTAAGACAGTGTCCGCTTAATCGATTTCTCTTTTTATTCTGATCACTTATGTATACATTTGTCTATATCTATCTCGATTCGTTTTACCTGTTACAAACAACCGTTATGTGACCAAAGTAAAATAACGCGCAAGGTTGAGGGTCAAGAGGTGGGTTGCCTTTACATTTGATATTGTCACATGGTTAACAAACATGGTAGGTATTATGGTAGGTATTAGGTATGCAGTTACAGCGCCAAATAGAAGAAGAAGAAGAAGAATGTATATAAAAAGTGTGCATTAAAGCGTTCGAAAATTAATGCCATAAAGTAGACTGCACTTTTGGAAAGAAATTCGTAATAAAAAGATAACCATGAAAAATAAAACGGGAAGAAAAGTTTTATTTGTTTTTAAAACAAAATAATTCAACAAAAAACTACCAAAATGAGAAAAAGTTTACCTTTTTACCAACCCAAATTTTTTCTAGCAATTTTGGTAAAAATTTACCAAAGTGGCAACCGTGATAACGACATAACAAAAATCCCAGGATCGTAAAAAGCGAAAAAATTAACGTCGTTAGTATGCATACCACGACGTGCAGGGCTATGAACAGTAAAAACCTTAAACGGAAGAAAAATTGGCAAAATTGTACGACCAAAGTGAACGTGCGAGTGCATAACGCGGCAAATTCATATTTAGTTACTGAAGTTAATTTAATGGCTTTAATGCTAGCCATACAAGGGTAACTTCAGACACTAATTATCTTAGTTAAAATAATTACAAATTACCAAAAAATAGTAAGAAATTAGTACAAGATGTTAAAAGTCAGTACATTTGTATACTGAAAAATTCAAAAATCTTGAGAAATTCAAAATAATCCGTATAACGGAAGAAAATTTAGTACTATACAAATGAAATCAGTACGCCTGGAAACCCGAGTATATAGCTTATTGTGTCAGAATCAACGAAATTTTTTTACTATTCTTCACAAGCTTTTATCGCTTTAACTTTATCGAAAATCTTTTATGTACCCTGCAAAAACAGTGACTATCATTTGACAAATCATTTGAGTGACAAGACTGATAGAGATTTCTGTCACTGGCTACCTACAAGTTTCTATCAAATTCTAAAGGGCAGTGTGAAAAATCTGATGTAAACACTTGTCACTCAAATGATTTGTCAAATGATAGTCACTGTTCTTGCAGGGTATGCTATTAATGATAGGTACCGTGACCATCCGTCCTTTATTTCAAAGGACAGTCCTTTATTTTAACCCCCTGTCCTTTATAATTTGTTTTCAAAATAAAGGACGCGTTTTGTCCGTTATTTCTTAAACTGTCCTTTAAATCAGCTCTGCATTTTTCAGAGGTAATTTTTTCTGAATATGAAAAATAAAAATGTTCCTTATAAAATATAATGAAAATCTTCGCCAGTTTGTTTCGCACCCCACTTAAGGGTTTTTATTTAATAGGTAAGCTTTGCACAGTATATAAAGCGCAAGGAAAGTTGTGCACAGGATCGTGTTGCACGCTGAGTTTCCAGTTCCATTGAAAGAGAACAATAAACCCTCTGCTGCACAGTCTTCTAAAGTGCCATTTAGTGTTCGTAATTCACTGGAGCCTTCATTTTTTTTCACTTAATTTGATAATTTTTTTTATTAAAGCTTTTAATATTTGCAAGATACTAGTTGAGCCTGATTTATTATATATAATATATATTAAATTTTTTAGTGCAAAATGCTGAACAAGTGGCAATTTTGAAGAAAATGGAGAATACATTAGTTAATAAATGTTACATAACAAAGACTAGTTAAAAAAACAATTTTATGGTTCCCCAAAACGAAAAAATTACAAAAAATGTTTGAAATGTTATAAAAAAAGGTTCACAAAAATAGTTTTTTTTTTGGTTTTTAGTAAAAATTGGTTGAAAAATGAAGACTGAATTGAACCTCTGTGTGCTGACTTCGGTAAACGTATTTTGGCAGCAAAGGATGACGAAGTCCTTGCAAAGGATTTGGCTTCATTTTCCGGAATCGGTTAATTAACTGGTAAATATTTGATTTAAATTACGATATGGGTAAGGAACTTTTATCATACAAGTTGTATGTACGTATATTATAATTTTGAAAAAAATGTCCTTTATTTTACATTGGTTAATATGGTCACCGTAGTAATAGGCTATGTTAAATTTTATCAACATGTCAGTGTTTTCAGAACACTACTCCGCCCCATACAAAAGCCAGATTACATGTGTACCGTTCATAAATATGCTACACTACATATGGATGCTGATAGGATTTTATCATAAAAATACATAAATAAATGCATGCAAGTATACCTAGACACGTTTGCTTATGCTTTATACAAAGTACATCGACATGCATTAGTATTTATGAGCATACGACGATTTTACGTGATTTTGCTATAATAACTCCATATGAACAATGATGGATATTGTGGAAAAGATTTGCAGACAAAATACAAAAGAAAATATAGCAGCAAAAATATGCCAATCACCGACATATGTACATATCAAGTACAGTGAGGATAAGTGAGTAGCAAGTGAGTTGGGAAAGGATATTTGCAAGTACGGATATTACATGTGTTAGTGTGTGTGTGTGTGTGTGTGCTGATATCTAACGCATATTACGTGTTGTAAGTATGAAATGTTAGCTTGTCGCATTGTTAGTAAATATGTTTGTAGAGCACAAAAATTCAATTCACAAAACCAACAAGGATTCAACAATACATATGTATGTGTATGTTTTATAATGGCGCATTCGAATACGAAATGAAATCTCATTTTTATACCGTTAACAAAAACCAAAACAAAAAATACAAAAAAATACAAAAATATGAGTTGTATCTGATTTGACGTGAGCAACGTCAATTGACTATAGCGGCTACATACGACTACTTACCATGCGAATCGGGTTTCATTAAAATATCCTGCTGTAGCAAGTGATGTTGCTGCATTTGTTGTTGTTGTTGCTGATGCTGCTGCTGCTGCTGTTGACGTTGATGTAGTTGCTGGTGGTGGTGGTGGTGGTGGTGCTGCTGTTGTTGTTGTTGTTGCAGTTGGAGCGTTGTGGCTAAAGCCGAAGATGTGGCGGCTGAGGTAATTGTGTAACCCATACCGCTGTTGCCTCCACCTCCAGCGGCTGCGCTCATTCCACCGACTCCTGTGCCGCCAACGCTCTGTGGCGGTGTTTGCACGCGTCGTATCTTTGCTTCCGATGGTTTGTAAATATTTGTGGTTTGATATGCGCTTGACATGCCGAGTCCTGATCGAAGTTGATGGAAACGCGTACGCGTACGACGGCCATGATTGTTGATGATGAAGCGGCAAGAAAATAAAAATTTTCAAAATACGAAAAGTCGATTAAATGTGGAGTGTTGAAGCGAAAAAGAATTTTAGCTGGTATAAAAATTTATACGCACACAGAAGGAAATGTGTATAGGAACATATTGGCATGAGGAGGTAAATAAATGTGTGGAATGTAGGGTTGGGGGGGGGGGGGGGGGAGACGCGCAGGCAGCAAGTATTATGGTGGTTGAAGTAAAATCGACTATTGGTAGACATTATCGAAAAGTTGCTTGGCAATCAAAAGTGCTGATGTTTCATTTTTGACGGCAATACTCCTCTCCTTCCTATCTGCCAACTAAATACATAAACACACTAGCGAAATTTTTACAACAAAGAAATGCGTTCGATTTGATTGCGGCAGGCATGAGCGCATAATAAGTAACTGCGCAGATAGAAATTTGAGCCAGTATTAGCCTAAAGGCACCTTAACTTGGCTCATTGCTAAAGCTGTGCGGCGTAGCAGCAGCTAATAGAGCGTACAATTTACGAGCCTACTTACTTTAACGATTCTACGCTTCATGCTCATCTTCACTCCCTACTTCTATACGATGGCTTAGACTTTTAGCCATTTTAGATATACATATTTTTTTAGTGTTGGCGCACTACCCCCTCCATCTCTCTTTCTGCACATTTGTTGTACGTATTGCGTGCCGCTGGTGGTATATGTGTCGATTGGAATTTAATGTTGCGTTTAACGTCTTGATTTCTTCATCGAATGTGAGTAGCATAAAGTGTGTGGTGATATCGTTTTCCCATGCCCCCCCCCCCCCCACTACGCTGCGCTGCTTCAGTGTGTGGTGTACACATTATTTTTATATTTTTTTTTTGCGCATGAAAATATGTTCGATATTAGGAATTTATATGCAGAAGCGTGCAAAGGTTTCCTATGCCAGCATAAAAATGCCCAAAGGAAGTTGCGTGATGTTCGGCTGCTTCTTTGTGTAATGCTTCTACATTATGTTCGTTTTTTATAACCGTTGCCTTTTTTCTGGATTTGTTCGACGCTTGGCAAGTCGATTGTAAAAGAAACATTGCCACATTGCGTGCCTTTGTGCGCGTGTGTGCTTGTCTGCTGTTCGAAAGCGTGGGAGTTTGAGTGGATGAGGATTGTAAGTGGTTAGCAGACGATTTTACGAGCACATTAGGTGTCCATTTTAAAACATTTTATGTTCGTGCGATACGATTTTAATATTGCATTCGTAGTTTTTTAAAGATTGAACGAGATACATATGGTATATCTTTTGATTGCTAATTAAACTGCACGAACCCAGCGAACGTTTTAGTGAACCAATGTTCACATACTCGCGAAAGTTCTCTAGTACGATTTTTGATGTGTAAACATTGTAGCTTTGGGTTGGGTTAAAATTTGCATTAACATAGCAGAATTTTTTTTAACTGATTCCTATGTAACCCAACAGTAAATCTATAATTGCTTCTTGTGTGTACAAAAATGAACATTTCTAGACTAGTTCAAGGTTATTCCAGGCCCAATTCGGGACCTTTTCGGCATTATTCGGGATCATTTCGGGACTACTTCACGACTCCTTGAGTAATATTTTCGGGATAGTTCTGGACCATTTCGAGACCAGTTCACGACTATTGGAGGAACTTTTTGGGGACTATATTAGGACCAATTCGGGCCTAGTTCTGCACTGTTTAAGAACCATTTTGGGACCATTTCAAGACTTGTTCGATATCATTTCGGGGCAATTAAAGAACTAGTTCAGGCTCATTTCAGGCCTAGTGCAGTACTACTTTAGGACCATTTTGGGAATGGCTCGGCATAATTTCGGAACTAATAAGGAACCATTTCGGAACCGTTTAAAGATTTGTTCGAGATTATTTCGGCGCAAGTTCACGACCTTATCACAACCACTTCAGGATTACTTCAGGTCAATTTTGGGCTTAGTTCGGGGTGGCTCGAAACTGGTAACGAATTTATCTACAAATAGTCCTTAACTATTGCCGAAGTGGTCATGAAAAAAGAAATGACAAAATGAATAAAATCAAATAAAATTATTGTTTAACTTCTAATACAAGGTATATAGGGAATTGTGAGCTTCTAAGGCCTAGGAAAGAGCTATCGATGAGCTTTTATTATTTAAACGCTTTTACGAGGCAGCTAAGAATTTCTTTAACCTTTGAGTGAAAAAAAATAGAACAGAACTCCGGCATGTTGGACCATGAACTCGTTCATCGAAAATGGTTAGCATGATGTTCTCTTCGAGAAATAAGTCGTAAATATTCTGTGCAAAAATGCTAAACTCACGAAAATTTAATAAGGAAGCATATGCGAGCACTGGACTACAGTTTGGATTTCTAATAACTTTCCAACCCTGCTTGCTTCAGTTTGTGTATTTAAACACTGAAAACACATGATTCCTATTAATGCCCATACCTTTCTCAGCGTCCGTAGTCGATGGTGATTGACGACTGTCTGCACTTAGCGGTGAAGCGGCACCATCAGGTTCCGAGCTGGATACACATTGCACCTACATAGAGAAGAAGAACAAGAATTTTCGATTCAATAAATATACACGAAGAAAAAATATATTTGTCGTATTTATTCATCCCACCATATCACTGCCACCGCTACGATGACTTGGCGGTCGCTCTGGGCTACGTGGACTGTGTGTAGTAGTATCCGGTGGACTGGCTGCAGCCGAACGTTGACCACTACGGCTTAACGAAGTGCTTGTTGAGGATGATGATGTTGCCGATTCCATAACAATTTGCTCCGAGCTCAGCATAGTGCCATGCTGTTGTTGTTGTTGTTGTTGTGGCTGCTGTTGCATGGCGGCAGTTGCTGGCTGTATGGCAACATGCTGATGGTGTTGGCTTTGTTGCTGCTGCTGTTGTTGTTGCTGTACTGGCACGTGCTGCTGCTGCACCTGCGGTTGTGACTGTTGCTGCTGTTGCTGTTGTTGTGCTTGCGGATGTTGTTGCACTTGTATGGTCGCGTTTTGCTGCACGTACGTGGTCGTGCCGGGTTGTTGTTGTGCCGTCGGCATAACCAAACCCATTGGTGTCGAATAAATTTGTCCAATCGGACTCAATTGTCCATTGCTGCCAACAATAAATTGCTGCCCAGCGGCTGTGGGCGAGATGAACTGCTTGTTTTGGGGCGAGGGTGTGCGCAACATCATAGTTGTGCCCTGTGGCGTGGTGGTGAGTATGCTCGGCCCGCAAGTCCCCACATTCTGAATCTGCAGCAGTGTGGTATCGGGTGCCATCACCAGCCCAGTGGGCACAATTAATTGCTGTCCAATGAGATTCATTGGCTGTATTATTTGACCATTTTGCAAGATGATTTGCTGTGGCTGCGTGGCCGTAGCAGTCGCTGGCTTATTGACCATAATGCCCTGTATGCCAGGACTAAGTTGGAATTGTTGCTGATATTGTGGTGGGGCGGCTGAAGCGATTTGTACAACCTGTGCCTGCGGTGGTGGCGGCTGCTGCTGCTGCTGCACGGCAACAGCCGAAGCAGCTGCGGCGGCGGCGGCAGCTACTTGCTGCTGTATAATGGCTGTTTGATTGGGAATCGTAGGGGATATTTGTGGCGAGAGGCTGGTAGTGGGCGTGCTGGTGGGCGAGCCGCTGCCACTGGAGCTCTTACGCTTTTTTGCGCGCCTCTTCACATCTGGCGAAGTGATAATGATGCGTTGCGTCTGCTGCTGTGGACTCTGTTGCTGGTGTTGCTGTTGCGTTTGCTGTACGTAGGCAGTAGTGCCATCGGCTTGTTGCACGATCTGGCTAACCACCTGGCCATCCAGTGTGGCGTATTGCTGTTGTGCGGCAGGCTGTTGCTGCTGTTGTATGACGTAGCCGCCATTGGGCAGCGTATTCAGCACAACTGCTTGTTGGCCATGTAACAGACCGGTGGTGGCCGCTGTGGCTGCATTCTGTGCGGTGGTCAGCAGTTGATTGCCTGCAATTAGCTGCTGACCGCCAGCGTGAATAATGTTGCCGGTGTTGGCGGTTGTCGCCAGTGCCACCTTGGTGCCATTACTTGTGGTCAGTATATTTTGACCGCCCGAATTGAGTATGACTGTGGCCGGCTGTAGCTGTGCAGTGGTGGTGGTGGCGCCAGCTGTGGAAGCCTGCCCCACAATATAGCCGCCTTGGTGCTGATGATGTTGTTGTCCATTTTGTAGTATGATGCTGCCATTTGCGGTCGTCAGCTGCTGGTGACCGCCCAGCACATCCAGCTGATTCTGAGGGTGATGCTGGTGTTGAATGATTACATTTCCTGTCGCCGCTTGCCCAGCGCCACTGCCTGCTGCACCGTTGTTGGCAGTTGTAGTTATTAGTAATTGCTGCTGATTCTGCGCTTGCTGCTGTTGCAATTGCCCTGCCGGCTTACCGTTGGTCGGCATCACAATTAGCTGCCCTGTGGACGTCATTATAATCTGGCTGCTGGGCAACTGTAGCGGAATGGTGTTGCTTGGCGTAGCCTTTTGCAATGTCGCTTGCAGTCTTTGCGATTGTGGTGGGGGTGGTGCAAGCGTCTCCAAGTGCTGTTGGCTAGCTGTGACGGGGGCGGCGGCGGCAGTTGCTGCCGCTGTAGTAGTCGTGGCGGTTGTAGTCGTTATTGCACGGCTGCCAGCCAACGATGTGAACGTATTGCGTGCGAGAGCGAAACGTTGTGGCTGCTGTTGCTGTTGTTGCTGCTGCTGTTGTTGTTGTTGTTGTTGTTGTTGTTGTTGTGGTGGTTGACGTATAATGCGTATCTGCTGTGTCGTCTGCTGTTGCTGTTGATGCAGCTGTGGCTGCTGCTGTTGCACGCGCATTTGCACGACGTGGTTTCCACTAACTTGCGAAACGTGCTGTGATGGCTGTTGTTTTTGTTGCTGCTGTTGCATTGGTGATGGCGATGCAGTGGCCTTAGTTGAAGACCCACGCGAACTTCCCGATTCTACTGAGTCAGCAGGTGAGGGACATGGTAGAGGACTCTCATTGCTGGTTGAAATAGCGCCAACCTGTTCCGGTCGTGGCGTATGACGCTGCGACTCGGGCGTTGAGCGTACAAAGGCGGTGCTTGAGGAGACTGGTGATTCTTGAGCAGTTGGCACGACATTCGGTTTCTGCGTCTGTTGGTGGTGCTGCTGCTGTTGTGACTGCTGTGGTCTAAATAGGACGTTTTGTTGTTGCATTAGTTGTATTTGTTGTGAATGCTGCTGCTGCTGCTGTTGTTGTTGAGGCTTCAAAGTGAGCGTGAAATTCGCGCCACCGTCAGATGCCATTGAAGTTGGCACCAGGAGCTGACCATTTATAGAAACTATTGGCATTTGTTTGATTTGTTGTTGTTGATGTTGCTGCTGCTGTTGTTGCATCTGCATCTGACTAGCTGACACAATGATTTGTTGCTGCTGTGTTGATGTTTGTTGTGTCTTACGTTGTTGCTGTTGTTGTGGTCGGTAAAATGCGTTTTCCTGTTGGGCACTAACTTGCTGCTCTTGTTGTTGCTGCAGTGTCTGCTGCTGATAGTGTGCTACACCATTCTGCACATAAACCTTTTTGGTGGTGGCATAAGTGGTCTGCGGTTTCTTTTCGCCACCCGAAGTGCCCACCGCCTCTTGCTGCATATGTTGCACATTTAGCTGCACAGTTGCATCCACGTTGCCATGTCCATCGTTATTGTTATTATTACTTTCAGCACGATTCAGCTTAATCTCCTTATCTTCTTCAGCCACACTTTCGTATTCGTCTAAGTCCTCTGAATCGTCCGCATCCTCAGCCATCTCTGTGTCATCCTCTGCACACGCTTCTTCTGCCTCTAGCGCGTCCTCTTCTTCTTCGTCTTCGTCTTCATCATCTTCCTCGCCCATGGCGACATTCATCATTGAGCTGTGTAGCAGCGCTGTCTGTTGTTGCAAGTAACCAGTGGGATCATCCTTGAAATTTGGTTGCTGCTTCTTCACTGGCGAGGATAGTGAACGTTTCACGTAGCGCGTGGTGCTTTGTTGATGGCTCATTCCACCGCCGCTGCTTGCCGTCGTCCAAGTGGGTGTTGCCACATTGTTATCCTCACCGGCAATTGTGGTTATTGATGCTGTTGTGGTAGTAACCGCTTGTGGCAGAGGTGGCACACGTTCGGCATCTTTGCGCCACATTTTGTTGTCTACAGCAAGTGGATTGGACAGTTGCTGCTGCTGCTGTTGTTGGATTATTTTGATGCCTGCATTGTTTGTCACATTCTTTATCACATTTTGCTGTTGTTGTTGTTGCTGTTGCTGCTGATAGTACACCTGAGCAGGTGGCAACATTTTATTAGTATTTTGACTAGCTTGTTGTTGCA